TATATATATATTATATAATTTTTCTTGCTGCTGTCAGCTACCACAGAATTTTCAGAAATCCACAGACCTACTCTGAGCCCTAGACTATGGCGTCTCTCATGTTTAAAAAACACACAAAAAACACACAGATCCATAACGTTGTTTCATATTTCGATTTTTTTTTTACTTCTCGGTGTTGGAAACATCATCCGTCGGTTCAAGTAACAGACTTTTTACCTTTTATCGGTGGATGTACAGTATAGGAATAGGCTTGATGATGAATTTAATATTCATATATTATTATATTCATAGGATGATCATGAAACTTAAAAGTTGTAGAGTCGTTCCCTCAAATAGTAGATCTATCATTATGATATGCTAGCGTGGGTGGACAACATAAAATAACTTGACAATGACAGAGTGGACATGTTTCGTCTTTTAATGAAAAGTTTTTTCTTCCACTTTCTTTATTAATTCCTAGTTTTTATGAACTGGGAAGATAACTCTGTCGGCATTGTCTTTGTTGTCATGCTCCCAGCGTCCACAACCTGCACCTCCAACCGGTAGATCCGGCTTGTGAATTCAGATTTCATTTAAAACCAGAAACAATTCCAGTGATTGCTGGAAAATACGCTCAATTCGAAGCATTTATTTGCTCTTACAAGGCCTGAAGGATCTGTACTGATAACAAATCGGCAGTATGGATTTTGCCAAGGATATCATGATGATTTTGTCGCTGTCTGCAGCTTCAGTTTTCGGAATTCTGGGCTTGATTCTTGGCTATTTTATCCTTGGAAGTGGACAGCCAAAGACAGAACGAATAGTTTTATCATGGATGGTCTACAACGCACTGACTCACTTTTTGATGGTATGTCTTTGGTAAGATTGAAGGGAATCCCGATTGAAGAATACCGGACCAGCGGACTGACTTTGCCTAGATCTATGTCTCAACCTTAGGAATTCATGATTTTCCCAAGTTTTTATATCTCTCAAGAGTCAATGGAGAATCTCGGGTATCTTGGACCGGTAGATCTATTTATTACAATTTTGTCAGGGGGGATAATGTATGGCCGTCTTTATTCGGACTCGATCGGACTCGAGTCCGAATATGAAAAAATGTTATTCGGACTCGGGTCCGGAAAAAAGGAAGTGTCTTCGTTTTATAGATCTAACGTTCAGTGCTTCCAATTTTCTGCCATTTTTTAGTTTCCCCCACACCTTTTCTGCCGATCCGATGCCTGCCGCCTCATTGATACGCCCCTCCCCCACCCCCCATGTTTCCCACTTTCTTTGTTGTAGAAAAAGGTAAAATTGAAGATTAGCAGACCATCTGGCACCTGCATATTATGAGCTGTGTAAAAAAAAAAAGACAGATTTGTTCAAATACACAAGCCTGTGTCATCTCGATTGTATACCAAGAAAAAGGTGTGTTGCTGTGTAGAGCTGAGCATACGGCAACTTTTTATTCCATAGTCCAGCACAATTCATTACGTAGATCTACGTCAAGACTAGCTTATTAAGTACTGTAATAATGATCAGTTGCCAGGGAAAAAAAGACTGACGCGCATGCGACGCTCAACGCCCGGACCGATAGTGCCCCCCCAGCCCAACACGCACACAGCCACACGTGTGCAGGCCGCCCATCCGACCCCGACACACGCTAACGAGCCATCTTTAATTGCTTCTGATGACCTCTTGACAAATAAATATTTATTAGAAGCGCTATAACTTTTCAGGCCGGCCTCAATTTCATCATAAGATAAAAACTCGGCTCCTGCACAAAACGCCATTTTGCCCGAAGTGATTCCGGTCTCTACCCAGCCAGAGGCGAGTCACGAGTGAGGCAGGACAGGAAGCCGGAGTCACGAGTCACAGGAAGTCGGAAGTGATATCATGCTGGACAAGAATCAGAGTCCGAATAACATTTTTTCATATTCGGACTCAAGTCCGAATAGTCACTTCGATAATGTATAAAAGTGGTCCGGTATTCTTCAATCTTCCCATGTCTTTAAGCAAAAACACGTAATTGCCAGTGCACTTCAACAATTGAGAAACTGTAAAACTTGCCAGGGCCCCAGCCAGGCCCAGGGACATGCGATTAAACGTAGAAAGACGCAAACTATTTTTAGGTAAGGCGCCCATCTTGTTTCACGTCAAACCAGGATACCCCTCCGATCTTGTGACTACATCTAAGTATAGTCAACCACATGGCACCAAAAATGAAAGTGTCTATACTATGTATATATGATGCTTAATATACCGTATTCTACCTCTCGCTCTCGGAAGTTCTGATGGCCGAATAGATAGCGCGTCTGCGTTTAAAGTCATGCAATGATTTTAGGAGCGCTTCGATCCCGGTACCGGACAGGTTTTTTTTCTCTCTTCCTCCTCCCGACTGACCGACAGTCCCATAAATTATAATTTGTAGCTTTGAAGTTTTTTGTTTTTTTTAATGTATATTTATGATGATGAATGCAGGAGGGGGGTGGGGGGGGGTGGTAGATCTAGATCTAATCCTCCAACGTCTTTACGGCAATTTTCGTGTTGTCTTTGTGTTTACCGTGTTTCAATTTCAAGCATCAGCGTTCTTAATCTTTTACTGTTCTGAGCATCAACGATCTCGATCCAAGCGATCTTCCATCATGTCCAAGTACTAGATTCTAGATCTAGATCTAGGAAATCCGAAACGTTACTGAAAACACATCGTTTCATGTATGTGGGTATCCCAGGAAATGATGACATCACAGTACTAAAATTAGCAGCCAATCAGTATCAGAAAGATGCGTCTTCTACGTTTAACGGCATGTGGCCCAGGGCAACAACTTTCTTTCAACAAGAGACAGGTTTGTCAATGTTGCTGTAATTTTGCTCTAGAAAAATTGTGTGTGCGTCTTTAGGTCCATGTTAGGTTTTGCAGATCAGTTAGAGAGTTAAGTGATATATGAAATGTACTGGTTAGGCCTACTTAGTACTCCAGGGAGGAGTTCCTCTGAGGGCCGGCCGACCAACAACACACAAAAATGAGGGACAGTTTTGAGTGGGATATATATATATAGTTTTTAGTAGGCTACAGTGGCAGTTGTAAGTAGTATTTGGTATTGTTTTGTGTAATATCGCATGTACTAGGTAGCGTAAACACAGCCTCGCGGGCACTCTCGGCCTTCCGACCACTTGGTATAGGTGAAATCGGGGTAATTCCGATCGGTTTCTTTGCTCTTTCGCTATAAAACACCAAATGCCGTACACGTTGTAAAAGTTCAGCTTTTCCTCGTTACAATGGTGTAAGTTGTGTATATGTCCGATTATTAAGAGCTGGAGAATCGCCGACGAAAGTGAAGCCCCTCGCGGTCGGAATGCGTGGTCGGCCGGTTGAAAAATTGACACGCATGCATACAACTGCTTCGCGGAACGAGGGATGATTAAATACCGTCTTTTCATTGGCGGAGAACTGTAGAACTTTAAACGAGCTTTCCCGTGATATATGTTTAGCCTTTGGCGCCTAAATAGAAAGCTTTTAAAAATGCCGTCAAAATGTTTAAAGATCACTTTTTACTCAGAATATGTAAAATACCGGCTTATAAAAGGTATCCATTAAAAGATCAGTTTATTTCCTATTAGAATAAAGTAATTAACTTGGAATTATTTTACATCAATCCTTCCGCGAAACTCGAAAAGCATTGGACCCCGCACGCGTGGTACACTACAGTGTAGAGCCGACTCGCTCGCCGCGGGGGCTGGTGCGGCGCCGGCCAGGTCAACGCTCTGTGTTTTTGTCGAAATAACGACAGATCATCCTGTTTGAGGCGATGAAATACAGATTTGTAATGATCTCACAGTCTTGAAAAAAATTAGGTTCCATATATTTGTTATAGTGATTGTACTCTGTTAATGTGGAGATGTTTATTGCTCTTGGTACTTTTTTATTGTCTGTCAAACATGGGGTTGCAGCCAGTGACTGACTTTAACAAATTTGATCAAATTTTAAACAACTACAATTTTCTTAAAAATTGACGGAGAGGTTAAAGAATGGTACCAAAATCCTCAGTGGATATAGGCCTTTCAAATGGAACAGATAAATTTGGCATACAGCCAGTTTGAAAATTTAGTTTCTGATGTACTGATTGTATTATTTTGCTTTTTCAGGAGGGCTCTTTTGTGGTGTTGTCATTAACGGAAACTGTGAATGCTTCCAGTCATTTCACGTCATATCTATGTAAGTAGGCCTATTTTTTTTGGTGCTTTAAAAGTTACACATGGTTGATAATGCATGATATGAAATGATAAAAGGGAAAGAGCTGTGATTGTATAATTAAAATAATTTTGTGAGGAAACTACTCTGTCAACCTGCTTTAATTTATCATCAGTCAAGATAGGCCTACTTAAAATGCATCCCTGATAAGCTTTTTTCTTCCCATGTTTAAAAATGTCTTCACATACAGTGATTCACGTAGTCTTTATTGTGAAGGTGATACATGTACTTACTGCATAGACTCTCTTCACGCTTCCTATTGTTTTGCATTAATTTTTTGACAGTTACAGAAACTGGGTGTTTTTAAATCATTTTTGTTTTTTTTAGGATTTCTGACTTTTGAGGTGCAACATTTTTTTTATTTCACCTTTCCCAACTTGCTTGTGTTCAGAAATTATGGTCATATTTATCTCCATTATAATCCAGTTTGGCTACACACATTGCATGCATTTTATATCTCTGAAGGTTGGTCTCGTGCTGACTGTGATTTTATATTGTAATCATAATGAAATACATTGCTTTTGTGTGTGTGTATGTCAGATCAATTTTTTGTTTTGTTTTCTGTTAAATGATTTTGTTACTATTTCAGTACTTTAAGTGGGTCTGGGCTAAGCCTAAATGTTTCTGCATTCAAGGTCCACCTGATGCTTTTTTACTTTTACACACAAAACTAGTACATATAGTACTAGTGTTTTATAGCTCTATTTAAAGCCAATGCTGACGGTTCAGATTACTCCTAAATTTGAATTACATTTTATGTCACAGTGCGGATTGACCATTATAAATGACAAACTTGGGCGCCCAGTACATTTATCGTTTAAAAGTGAAAGAGTTAAAGAATTCTGAGTACCTTCAAAATTTGAGATTTGATCTCTAGTAAGGCAAAAGCCATTCTATATTGTTGGGAAAATGATTATTGTACAGAAAAAAATCAGTACCTTTGTGGGTTGAAATAAGAAATATATTGTACATTTATGTACCAAGGAAAAGGTGAACAAAAGAAAACAAAAAGACAAAAAAGATGACTTTGGTGGCATGATCATCCTTTTGAGTCAGAGCCTAGTTAGACACACCACTGCTGAGTCGGTGTAGATGACCCTGGACAGATTCCTAACAACAGTTTCTTGAATGTATATTAAAGTTTTTTCATGGCTCTCTTCCTGCGTGACCCAGTCCTTGTGATGACTGACATTTAATATAAGAGTCCTGTCATTTTAAGGATGGTACACCTATAAGGGGGTGTGGGGGGCTATCCAGGACCTTTCTTCAGGGAACTGTGCAAGGGAGGAGAAGGAGAGGAAGGCTAAGGAAAAAGTGGACCGACAACATTGAGGAGTGGACAGGGAAATTCTTCGCCCTAACTCGAGTGCCCGCAGGGAGCCGTGAAGAGAGGGAGCACCTGACGAGGCTGTCTGTAATACAGGGCCCCTACGATCCTCGTGGATTATGGGATCAGTGACAGACAGTATGACACCTCTATAAAACACAACAGAGAGCCAAGCTGCAATTTGTGCTTGTCTGCTTTGAAGGTTCGTTCTCACAACTTGACCGAAGTGTTATTATTATAAATTACAACTTTTGAGTCCAAGAACTTTTTTTCCGTCCTCAGGGAAGGAGTATGGGAAGGCAGATTCCCGCTGGCTGGTTCTGGACCCTACGGTTGTGTCGCTGGAGATTCTGACGGTGGTGGTGGACGGTCTCCTGTGCCTGGTGGTCATTGCCGGCATTGTCACCCGCGGTTACTACAGACACTACGCACAACTTGTGTTTGTGTGTGTGAGCTGTACGGAGGTGAGATGTGTGTGTTTGTGTGTGTGGGTGTGTGTGTGTGTGGGTGTGTGTGTGAGAGAGATCATATCTGTTTGTGCGTGTGTGTGTGTGTGTGTGTGTGTGTGTG